ATTAAGTTCAGTTTTAATTTGAAAAATTAAATAAATATTCAAAATATTCAATTAAAAACACTACTGAATTTAAGTTATTAGTCCATATGTAATTAGCACTTGTAAGTAACTAAAACACGTTGTGTCTATATAGAAACTAGAAACATGTGTTTAAATATTATAAATATGGAAACAGTGATCAGAGGCGACGAGCGTGCCAACATTGTTTTTGACAACACGATCATCTTATGGAGCTCCGTGGATCGTTCAAAGTACCTTTCGAACAGATGTCTAATACTAACATCCATAACGCGCCCGCGGCCAACTTCATGGTGTTACTATTGTGTTACAGTGATGCGCGCGCATCTTAAAATTTCACTCTCATAATTTTTTCATAACGCGGCTAAAGAAGTATAACTTCAAAAAATATACCTAAAAAACTAAGATCTCTCGAAGTTGAGAAAAAATCATACTTCTACATAAAAAAAGATACAGCCTTTTATGTTGCGTACGTAAAAATTTAACGAGACCCTCGGTGGACGATTCCCAATAGCATTTTTCGGTTTTTTCTGTACGTCTTTTTTCACATAAACGCATAAACATTGATTTTTCAATAATACGATACTTAAAATTACTTCAAAACGTTTCCCGCAGAACATAGTAAATTGCAAATTTCAGCACAAGATATCAGGGCCCTCGAAATATGCTGCTTCTGACACGCTCCTGGTGTAACACTAATTCCATTCTAAGATTCCATATAAAAGTTAGTGTTAGTTAATTTTATTACACTATCACTATTCTTGTATATCCTATAATTTATAATATTATTTTTAATTGCGAATAAACAAAAATAGTACCGTAAACACCCTGCTTTAACTTATTTTTTTCAATATTTTAACTCAGCATGTGAAATATTTTTTAGGTTTTTTCAGTCATAGGAACGGGTCGTATGAGACTTATTTAGCTATATGTTCTTTAAATTAATATAGTATACATAGTTCTACAATTTATGCATTAAATACATTATTATATATATTATACACTATATTCATGTCCCTACTTAACTTAAAGTCTCTATTATATCTAAAGCTTTACAATTTAACTGTAGGTACCCCAAGAAAGAACTTTGGCAGATCAGTACCCCTAGCACGAACCATTATCGAATTCGAATAGTTTGCGAGTGCGAACTGTCAATGGAAACTTGAACAGCAGCGGCACAAAGTACGCAACGAGAACTAAAAATCAGTACACATTTGACAATGACATTTCGGACTCGCAAACTATTCGAATTCGATAATGGTTTGTACTAGGGGTACTGGTCTGCAAACAAGATTAAAGTAATAGTGGTATCAATACATATTTCATTAAAAAGATGTAGGTGCATCATTCAAACTTAGCAATTTACACATTCATATGCCTACATCAATCGATTTTTCTCTAAATTCAACGTAACTTCTGTGCTGTTCTTTAAAATAATTCTATGTGTACAGCTATCATTGTTTGTTGGGTTAAAAACGATAAAAACAATTATTTAACAACTAAAAAGAAATACATATCGAATAAGGTTTTATGTCTGTTCAAAATTGTCCACATCAAACTGACATGAACTGAATATCCCTATTAAATATGAACATCGCCAAAAAGAATAAAATATATATTTAATTACCTATACCTATGTGCTAGTTTAATTATATTTAGTAGTAGGAGGTACCCATTGAAAAGATTTGCAACAAATATGCAGTTTCTGCAGAAGCAGAACAAACCGACAGCAAGGCTATAAAAAAAAAATTAAAGTTTATATATGAACCGTTTACATATAAGAATAAATAATTACTCAAAATATAAACTAGCATTTAGAAAACGAGTCTCTTTTGGAAGTTTTTAATTTGTCAGCACCCATTTTCGGTTCTAAAATATAAGTAACGATAAGTTCTGTCTTCGCACGGGTAGAAATTATTTTTTGAATTCCATATCCATGATAATGTTACGGAACCCAACGTGCGCGAGTCCGACTCGCACTTGGCCGGTTTTATAAATATTATTCAGTAGCAGATTTTTTTTTGTGAGATTGAACACCTTATATGTATAATGTATCTTAACAGCACAGTAGGACATAGAGCATTTGTGCGAGAGCACACAAGCGCCAGATAAGCGGGAAAGCGCCAGTCCTGGAATCCACCTTACAGAAGCAGCCAAATTACAGTAGGTTAGGTATACACAAGTAGTAGTTAGTATCATGCATCATCATCATCAGCCTATTAATGTCCCCACTGCTGGGGCATAGGCCTTATCTATGGATGGAATAGAGAGTTTGGGCCGTAGTTAGTATACACAAGCATATTTCGCAATGCTCGGTCTTTGGATAGGTGACCAAAAATCTTCTATCTCAAGTTCCTCCGTGCTTCGGAAGGCACGTTAAGCGTTTGGTCCCAGCTGCAATTGCATTCGTTAGCACCCGCCAATCTGCACTGGGCCCATGTGGTGAGTCATGGCCCAATCTCCCTATTCCATCCATAGGGAAGGCCTGTGCCCCAGCAGTGGGGACATTAATAGGCTGATGATGAGGTATACACACCGGCAAACTTCTTGAGCAACGACCATGGATAAGGAAGCCTCCGCAAATAGCAATTTTACATACAAAAACGTCTGCTGTGCAAGTTTATTTGTGGTTTTGCTCAAGGAGTTTGCCGCTACCAATATATGTGTAACGTGATTTTTTTAAATAACTAATAAGTTACCTAAACCAACTGCATTTCACTGCATATTAGATTTCGCGAGTGTATCAACTACACACATGAAAAGTGCCTTCCTCGGCACTTGACGCACGTACTTACTGAGTTTATTTCTAATAATTTATAAAAACACTGCAATTTTTCTCATATTTTAAAAGATAAAGTTTCGTTGAATTTACTATGGCCTATGTCCAGCGGTTGGCTTTTCTCGGCTGATATAATGATGATGATTACAGTTTCGTTGTAGAAGACTGGATTTCATATACTTGTTTGGTATATTTATTATTATTTATAATATTAGTACGTTGATAAGATGATAAATACAACAATAGATAATAACGCTACTTATCTACAATACAAGATAATTATAATGGAAGCTTAGATATAAAATATCACATTGCTTGAAAATCTTTTTTATTAGACAGTATGATTTCTGATAAATTAAACAGGGTTTTTAATTGGTTCATTTACGGCCTAGAACATAATTTCATATATCTAAGTATAGACATCCAGACAAAAGAGATGACCTTTTTTGGTCATGTAATAAGACAATACATTTTCTTCTCCAGAACATAATGATGAGAATGATTGATAGGAAAAGACGTGTTGGAAGAAGGGAAAAGCCGTGGCTCCAAAACATCACAAGGGTGGACTGGTATCGGCAGCGTGGACTGCATCATCCCTTTCTCATGGGATGATCTCACCAGACAAAGCCTGTAAAGTACTTATGGCAATAGCATCGCCCCTACGGGTGTTTTAGTCAGTAAGAATCAAACATAACCCTGCAGCCAGCAGAGTTATACAACAAACAAAAAAGGGAGCGTGGAAGAACTATTTCGTCTAGCACGAAATAAGGACAATTACGCAGAGCTAACGGCGATCTTCCACTAGTGGAGAGGCACCGCGAGAAAAAGTGCATAATACAACACACATGCATTATACAAATTGCAATTGAATTCACTGCTTGCTTGCTGCTTGGAAATAAAAACTGCTGCTTGAAAAATAAAAACCAGTCACAAGACAAGTCCATTAACTGTGTTTAAAGTTACTGTTGTCACTTTCTTCTTCTGCGATAATATTAGAAGAAGATACTATGTGACTTTATTTGACATTATGTCCAAAAATCGCCACTTGGACTCTACCTAATAAGATGGCATTGTGATAAATTGTTGAGAGTGGTATGGATACTGGTATGACCAGTATCCATTCTCACCACTCTCAACAATTTATACTAAAACTTAAACTTCTAAACAACTTCTAAAACTAAACTAAATTAAACATCAGTTTCATTCTCTATAAAGAATAAAAATTTGTCAAATTTAATTTTAGGTTTAAAGTGTCACGCCAGAATCGACACCTATGTGTCTATGTAACTAACTAAAAAGTGATTAATTAATTCATGACAGACTATGAAAGGTATTTGTGACCAAAAAATTACATATGTAAAACTGTCATACAGATGAAGTTACATACGTAAGTCTACATCATTGTGGACCTTCAATAACTAAGAATTAACATTACAATGAACTTAAAGGGGAAACATAAAAAGTTTTATTAAATTACCAATAAGATTAAATATAATACCACAATTGAACCATTCAGAATGATGCCAACAGAAATTTTAAGATTTCAATAATTACTAGCCACTGAAAAGTGTACATAATAGAGTCATTTCAAAATGAATAAGAAACTTATCTATATGCAATAAGTACAACAGTTTTTATGATAGAAGTTAAGAAAAGCTTGGCCAGCCATTAATGTATAAAACCAGTTGTTTTTCATTGTAACCTGGGTAGTTCCTGCTGTTTAATATAGCTCTCTTAAAATAATTTCTAAATTATTAGTATATTAGCAATAACTACAAAATGTCTTCCTTTTTTATTTATAAAAGTCTATTTTCAATAAGATTAAACAAAGATTAAGGAAATAATTACAATGATATTGTTACCATTAAATTATTAGATATGCCTCTATATTGATAATAAAAATGTAACTTTTTGAAAGAAACCAATTGTTCAAATATTTTCTCACATACAAAGTTCAAGCTGACAGAGCACACTTTGACAATATACACAGCTGTGAAAACATTTTAGTGAGGCATCATCCAACAATTTAAATCTTTGATTTTTGATTAAGTTTTCTTGTCAAAGGGTCAAACCCAATTCACAGATATCATACAATAGGAACTGTTAAAGAAAGAATGGATAAAAAAATGCATAGACCAAATGAGGGATCAAAGGGTTTGTAAATACACATGGTATAAGACTAGTACATACCAAATGGGGTAAATTATGTATCTTCAACATTGGGATTCTCTGAGAACAGTTGGTGGTCATTGTAAGTCTTGAGGTACTGCCTAGTCGTGCAGTACAGCATCAAGCCCCATTTCATCATCATGAAAGACCAGACCAACCGAATAATGATACTTGTCCGAATAGGCAGAACATCTGGAACAAAATGTTAAAATTTTTTTACTGCAACATATTTAAATAAATCATGTTGTACCTGGGTAAAGTTCCAACTTCTGGGATAGCTCATTTAAGTTAAACTTTTTTTTATTCATTGAGATGTGAATGTAAATCTTATGAGAATAAATACCGGGAAAATATATGCTGTAAATACTCCAACATTCAGCATAAGTTGCCAAGAACTTTAGCAAAACAACGATTAATTTTAGCACAGCAGATTGAATTATAGTAGCAATAGTATACTGTGTTTTTATGATAACTAACACTGAAGGGGATTTGTAATATAATTAAATCACAGTCATTGTTCTCATTTGCATATTATGTGTATGTTTATATATTTTTTTATTTTTTAAGCATTTAACTGCTAAATGTTTAATTCTAAAGAAAATGTAATAAATAAATAAATTATGTGTATTTTACTGTTCATTAATTCTGAAAGTATCTCCCTTATTATGTATTATCAACTATTCAATTCAATTCAATATATTTATTGTTTCATACAGTAATTACAAGATCTTAAGATTTAGTTTCAGATCCAATCATGAACCCTGCAAGGGAACTACAATATCAATATACAAAAAGAAAAAGTACATATAATTATAACTAACTCTATGAATGATAACTCGTAAATTGTATATTTTTTTTTCTGAAGTGCTAGATAAGTTAAATACTTATATAGTATTATCAACTTACTTTGTGATAGTAACTGGCTGATTATTTATTTTTTCTCAAGTGATAGATAAGTTAAATATACAGCTTAAATAGCAAGTTAGCTTTCATTCAAATATGAGAAACAGCATTTTGATTTTTCTGTTTATTGCAGTACTTTACAGCTTACAGTTTAGAATCCCTCAAAACTGTTTTATTATTATATTCCACAGTATATGTTGGAGAAAGACTAACCTGCTTGGTAATAGATTTCTAGAAAGATGTAGAAAATTGTCAGAGCAGCCCCTGAGGCAAAGCCTACAATTCCACAATCTCCTATATACTGTATAGCTTTCCGTGAGAAATTGACATGAAGAGACTCTTTAAGGTAGTGGCAATGTAACATCAGGTTAAGACTTGCATGTAGACCTGCACAAATAATAAAACATTAGTCTTGTGTAGTTAATGAACGATGAACAAACAGGAACCGTTTCTTAGCACTGTGTTAAGAGAAACATTTCCAAATGCTGACTTGTAATCGGTCTATTAGTTCTAATAGCTCCTCACTCGTACAGTTAAAACTATGCCGTTATTTCCCTCAACTATTTGTATTTGCTATTTGTAAACTTGACAACAGTCTATCCTTATCATGCTTTATAGAAAACGAAAAAGTCAGTCTGATGTCAAGTTTACAAAAGGTAAACACGAATAGCCGAGTAATGTACAGAATTACGAACAGCTTTATCATTTGTCCAAATGAGAACTAGAATGACAGCATCTTTGCTCATTAATCTTTGCGAGTCCTGATTGATAGCGAAGACTGAATAGAGCTAATAGAATTAATAAACAGAATTGGTTCACAGATCGATATATACCAGTACCAAGCTATCTTGAAAATGATGGAGCAGGCACAAGACTATGAAACGTGTTTACTTAATACAATGATTAATTTTATTAAAAAGAAAGGGATAGTCATTTTTAGTATATACTATTAAGCAACATAATTGAAGTGAAAGCTTGAAAGTTCAAATCAAAGTATTGTTGAAGGTCTTGATTGGGATGATGAATCAATGATTTGATGCGAGTAAGTTGTTTAAAATGTAACTTACTTGATAACAACGCCCACATACCAGCTTCAACATTAGCGTAAACAAGGCAGAAACAAATAAAAGCTGATATTCCAAGAATAGCGCCGATTGCACTGATTACAATATGAACTTTCGTACGAAGCATCTCGTAAGACTAGTATCGTTAAATACCGAAGCCACAAAAATAATGTAATGTTCACCAATTACAGTTTCTATTCTATTTTTTTTGTAAAACTTTGTTAAAAATGCACAGAATGTTATAAAAAAACAAAGGTTTTTCTTAATTTATTTCACAACAAACAAACATGACATGACTTGACTGACAGTCAAGTGTTGTAAGTTATATAAAATATCGATACTGATATCGATCCGGGTACGATTCTCTAAAGCTAAATTTAAATTGTACAACATTGGTGTCGATTCTGGCGTGATTCTCTAAACTTAAAACTAAATTTAACATAAGTCTCACCTTTTCATTCTGTATCGAGAAGGACAAGGATGCACTGTTGTCAAATTTAAGTTTAGCTTTAGAGAATCATGCCAGAATCGACATCAGTGTATCCTTGTCATTCTCTATACAGAATGAAAAGGAGAGACTGATGTTAAATTTAATTTTAAGTTAAGAGAATCACGCCAGAATCCACACCATAATTGTGGCCACGGAAAGCAGTCACAATATCAATTATATCTAAATTCAATAGTATTTAAACTATCGAAGGTTTTAGGTCTCATCAATGTTATTGCAAACTATCGGCTATTGATAACATCGATAGTCCTATCGATATTGTGACTGTTTTACATGGACAACTATCGATAATATTGCAACGCTGTTCAAAATCAGTTTATTTAGTTCTCCCTTTCTGGGAACGCAAGGGAAACCATACCCATACAGCCTCGCCTTAAATTTTATTGGTGTCGATTCTGGCATGATTCTCTAAACTTAAAACAAACATCAGTCTCGCATTTTCATTCTCTATATACAGGGTGTTACAGAATTCCGAAATAAAATTTGTAGGTATGTATTCCGAAATAAAAAATTGTAGGTATCTGAGCGGGGCGCAGGGGCGCCTGGGGGAGAGAGGGGGGTCTGTTTAGGTAGTAGTAATCGTACGCATTTATAGGGTTGTCATAGACAGGTGTAAAACGATATTTTTATTAATTTAATTAGAAAATAAAAGTGGTCCGAAAGGCGTCAAACTTTCGTAGGTAATTCTATACAAGGAACACAACCAAACCCTAAAGTTTTATTTCGGACTTTTGTCACACCCTGTATATTATTTTTACTTAATATTTGACAACAGTGTATCCTTGTCATTCTCTATACAGAATGAAAAGGAGAGACTGATGTTAAATTTAATTTTAAGTTTAGAGAACCGTGTCAAAATCGACACCATTGTCGTCAAATTTAAGTTTAGTTTTAGAAAATCCTGCCAGAATCGACACCATTATTTCATTTCATTAGAATATTCATTTTAATTAATAATTTTAGTGTTTCACATATTTGAGATATCGTTTTGTGTATATTGCCATTTCATTAGTTTATTTTAATACCAAATAGACACAAACTTATGTGGATTATGAAAAACCTTAGAATCGAGTTTAAATGATTTACAATTTACAACCTACAGCAACAGAATGAGCACAACCAACAAACAAAAACAACAATCAACAGAAATTTGACGAAATAATTTATATGCAGTAACAAAATTGAAAAAATAAATACAAAATTCCGATCAAAAAATAAAACGAAACGACCAAAACCAAAATAACACAATAAAATGTCTATGACCTAAAAGGCAAACTGTTATTCTTTAATACAAAACAAATACCAAAACTTTAAGTCAATCAGAAAATCAGTCCGAATATTAATAATTATAGTATAATTATCTCACACGGTACTTGTTAAGAGGACAGCCTTTATTATACCACGAGTAATAAAGAGTCTTTACACTCTTCATAGATCTCTATGTCTATAAAAGAGAGTAGTTGACATTGTCAGCTGTCTTGTAAAAATATATTTAGGTCTTGTGTGTCTTTTATGTAAATACCAAATAAAACTATTATATTTAATTATATTTCCAACTTTGTTTATGTTAATTGCCCATCAAATATAAAACTTAATATGGTAGCAGAGCGTTTACAGGAAAGAAAATGTCGATCGTAAAAATTTCTCCACTTGGAAAAGAAAATTATGACACATGGGTAATTCATGCAAAAGCATATTTAATAAAAAACAAATTATGGAAATATGTAACGAAGTATCCTGATGAGAATTCAGATACTGAAAAAGAAAATGATGAACTTGCGAAAGCCGAGTTACTGTTACTGATCTCATCAACTGAATTAAAAGAAGTAAAGAACTGTCTCCACGCAAAAGACGTTTGGGAAAAACTCAAAGGTGTATATGCTAGTCAAGGGCCTGCCAGAAAAGCAACTCTATTAAAGAAATTGATATTGACTAGACTAGGCATTGATGCAGATGTTCGGGAACACTTGAAGGACTTCATGGATACGGTAGACAAACTAAAAGACTTAGATATAGAAATTAATAGTGACTTATTGTCCATAATGATGCTATATAGCCTCTCAAACGATTATGAGAATTTTAGAATTGCAATAGAATCGCAAGACTCACTAATAAGTCCAGAAAAGTTAAAAATTAAAATAATTGAAGAAAGTGATGCTCGCAATAGAAACATCCAACCTAATACAAGTTCAAGTAATGTCGAAGAAACATTTTATGCACTCTGCAAAATATGTAAGAAAAAGGGACATGAACAAGAAAAATGTTGGTATAAAAATAAAAACAAAAAGAACAAGAAAAATTTAAACTATAGACAAAATAGTTTAAATCAAAAGGAAAAGAATAACTTTACATGTTTTTCTTTATATCAACAAGAAATGAAAAACGGTTGGATATTGGATAGCGGATGCACGTCTCACATGACATTTTCAGATAAACCATTTACAAATATGAGAAATGTGAACCAAACATTAAAATTAGCATCAAAAGAGCACACGGCTGAAATCAAAGGATCAGGTCCGGCCCAAATAGAGACTAGGCAAGGACTAATAGGCATAGCAAATGCTCTTTATGTACCGAGTCTATGTACTAACCTTCTATCAGTCGGAAAGCTAACTGACGCTGGACATACTGTAACATTTACTAAAGAACGAGCAATCATAAAGGATAAAAAGCGCAATGTTGAAATAAACGTTAAAAGATCTAACGATGGCTTATATTATCTACGTACCAAAAATAATAATACTGATCGTCGGGAAAAAGCTAATGTTACTCAGACAAAAGAAAACAAATCTGATGATATACAATTATGGCATAGAAAATTAGGACATATGTCAGAGAAAAACATGAAGCATGCTTTGAGTAATAATTTACTGATTGGGTTAAATTTTGACCATAAAAACAAATTGGACGATTGTGAAATTTGTATTCAAGGAAAAATAAGTAGAATACCTAGCAAGTCTAGCACAATTACCCGTACCAATCAGCGACTCGAAATTGTACACAGCGATGTATGTGGACCCATGAAAACCGCTTCATTAAATGGAAATAAATACATGGTTACATTCATTGATGATTTTTCAAGATACTGTTATATATATTTTATACAACACAAAAATGAAGTACTTGAAAAGTTTAAGGAATATAAGAAAATTGTTGAAAACTTTACTGGAAATAAAATAAAATTCCTACAAAGTGACAACGGCACAGAATATTGTAACCGAGACTTTAACATATTCCTGAAAGAGAATGGTATATCAAGAAGATTGACAGCACCATACACCCCTCATCAAAACGGCATTGCCGAAAGAAAAAATAGAACCTTGATTGAAAAGGCAAGATGTATGATGTTAGAGTCGAAAGCACCATTACATCTGTGGGCAGAAGCTGTTCACACAGCCAATTACTTATCAAACAGGAGTATTAATCAAAGTATTGGACAAGTAACACCATTTGAATTGTGGGTAGGAAGGAAACCCTGCATAAACCATTTACATATATTTGGTGAAAAAAGCTTCATCTTAATAAAAGAAAATGGTCGTCAAAAATTTGCTTCAAAAGCCATCCCTGGAATGTTCGTGGGATATTCAGAAGTATCCAAAGCTTTTAGAATTTATGTGCCATCCAAAAGAAGAATTTTAATTTCCAGAGATGTACGTGTTTTAAGAAAAATGTTCTATGACGATGACAAAGGATCTTGCAGAAGTAATCCTTTCCCCGAAATTGATGGGACACTCAAGGAAGAAGTAAAAATTTACAGCGAACCTAGAAATACTAATGATGAAGAACAACTTGTCCAAAATGAGACGATTGATAGTTCCGGTATACTCTGTCCTGAAGAAATTGAAAATGATGAATACACAGAGTCACAAATGGAAACTCAAACAAATGAGAATATAGAAGATATACGAAATGATTCTTTAAATGAGGCGACTAACGTTGAATCGGATGGAAGAAATCTTCGTGACAGGTCGCGTATTGTCCCACCAAAAAGATTTGAGGACTATGTTTTAACTGCTATAAATGAGGATGCTATGGAAGAACCTCAGACATTCAGAGACGCTATGAAAAGCAAAGAATATAGCAGTTGGAAACAAGCCATGCAGAGTGAAATGAACTCGCTAAATGAAATGAATACTTGGGATCTCGTCGACTTACCTAAGAATAGAAAAGCACTACCCTGCAAATGGGTTTATAAAATAAAAAGATGCCCAGATGGTACAATCGAACGATATAAGGCGAGACTAGTTGTCAAGGGATTTTCACAAAAACCTGGCATTGACTACGAAAAGACTTTTAGTCCAGTAGTCCGGATGAGCACAATTAGAGCACTTTTGGGGATTGCTGCACAACAAAATTTAAAATTACAGCAATTTGACGTGTCTACAGCAGCTATACTCTAAGTGTGTTCCGCGGAACCCTAGGGTTCCGTGATACCTCTGTCGGGGTTCCGCAAGAATTTAGAAATAAAAAAATCAAAACACCTCTCTCTGGTCGCTCCGCGGCTGTGCGGACTCCGCGGCCGCGCGGAGACAAAACGCTATGAATGTTATTTATTTATTTATTTGTATTTGTATAAGCTTGTGTTACATTAGCTGGTACAATATCTCATAAGTTTGGTC